GTGATACATACCAATTGCCGGAATGCTTCTTTCATTATCCGGACAATTTCTTCCTTTGCACATTTCAAATTCCTTTCATGTCGAGCTTCTAACAACAGATACAGCTTTCTTTCACCATCTTTTGGCTCCTTTCCTGGCGGATAATGTGAGCCTTTCACGGAAATGCCAACATCGGCAAATTCAGAGATATGGCCCAATGACTCCTAAAATTTGGTATGCATTTGTCAATAAAATAGCAGAATCTAGAGGTTGTCTCATTCTAGTTTGACTGAGATGACTACTAAATAAGCACAAAAAGCGTCCATTTATGTAAGCTAAAAGATGAACTATGTACCATAGACGGAACTTGATAATCAAAATCAAAAAAATCAATTCCCGCAGACATTATTTGCAAGCCTAGTCTTACATCCGTTTACGAGCACAAAATTCTTGATGCTCTTTTCTCACTTTACCACTCTTTCACTGCCGATATAGATTGATAAAAAAAGATTGATCCAACAAATCGAGAAAGAAAATTTAATGCAGTAAAATTCAAAATAACCCGTCAAGCTTCACCAAATTGCTTTTGTGACAGATATAAAACACCTCACCCTACTGCAAACACGATATCGCACTTGCTGCGGAAAATCGTTGATGTCAAGCTCTTCCTCAAAGTATTGCCACTCTTCTTCTTGGCTAGTCGTCGGTAGAGCCTCACCTGTAATTTTTGTGCGCATGAGAGACCAGCCAAAAACTGGAAGATTCTCAAAAGAAAAGTCTCATGGCTCAAGAAAGCGCTACCGAAGAAATTTGATATAGAACATGATTTTACGCAAGAGCTCTTCCCGTATACAATTAGCGACGAAGTAACATGAAGAAGCTAAATTCTAAACAAAGACAACAAACCTCCCAAATAGTTGAGTTTTTCATTCAGCTTATCTGCCAACTGCTTGGCAATCATTTTCGAAGTCATTTCGAATGGTGCAATATCACCTCCCTAAACAACAAAAACTCAAGGTACACTTCGGGACACCATAAAATGTCAAAAAACTTCAAAGTTTCAAACCTTCATGATAGCTTCGGCCGCTTTTTGCGCGGCATCCTTTTCAGCAGGTGCATTCAGATTCCTCAATGTAGCTAACTTCTCCGCCATTGCTTTTGCTTTAGCCACCTAAAACCGTAAGAAACTTTATTTCCACGCCTTCAACATTACGCCTTACCTTATCTTCCACATCAGAATGTTTTTTACCATTTGCACCATATTGTCCTTCCACTACTCTTCGCTTTGATTTGATCATCATTGAAAGCTGCTCATCCAGCTCATCATCATCATCCGCGCCATGCTCCATACCACAAACCTGAGCACGAAACAATTATATAGAGATATTTTTGTCGGTAGAACCACCTGAATATTACCAAAAAACTCTAATTTCCTGATAAGCACCACTTGCAAGAGTAAGGTTTGATTTCTTTTTATTCCAGCGCAATGGAAAAAATGCTCTAACGAAGCCAGGTAGTGTAAAAAGTATGATAAACAAACCAAACGGGTCATCTTCTTCTTCGTAGCATCTGCTTCTGCTTCATCTTCGTCATACTTGTAACCACTTCCAGCAAAACTGAAACAGCATACCATAGTCTCAACAACTACCACGTATGGCTGTAAAGCATACCCTTTTCCTCCCAAATGAACTTCTTTTCCTTGCGCAGCCATTTCGGCTTTGAATTTTTCAAACATGGCCTTCAGATCAGCTGGAGGTTTCGCACCAGCAGTTTCGAAAGCTCGGCAAACTTCGCCAGCCATGCGTTCTTGGTCTGTAAGAGAATAAACTGATCTTCTTTGAATGTTCAGCACTTCAACATAAAGCATTGAAGAACATGTTGTTTGAACAGAAAATGTACAAAGCATTAGAGAGGTCAAGCTGCTACACTTCTGATGCATGGAAGCTCAAAAATGGAAGTGCGAATGAGTCATAAATCTATTGTCAGATACCGTTTTGCTGGAGATGCATACAGTCAAAATGGAAGTATGACTTGATTGTTTTGCTTCAGCTGATTGGCCA